TAATTATTTTATTCTCATAAAAAATATAAATAAAACTAATTATTATTGATTAATGATTATAAACAATACAACTAATAATTATCAAAACATTTCAAAAATTGTTTTGTGACATACTTACGTAAACTATAACCAATTTAACCATGTCCACGATAAAAAATTTTACAACCAAATATGCATTTGGTTTCATTGAGTATCATAAAATAAATTTTACAAATTTATTACAATGTGGAGACAATTGTGTAAATAAGGGATATGTTGCATTAATACCAAATTTTGTATGCTCATTTTTAATTTGTAATTAAAAATTTAATAACTTATATTACGTTTAAACAGGATCTTTTATATGGACGTGACTTATCAATTGTCAAATACGTATTGTGCAAATTAGGTTTGATGATTGGTTTTGAAGTAATTGATCGGGTAAATATTTAAGTTAACATATTACATTTTTTATTTAGTTTTAAAATTGATCATCATGTATAATATTTTATTTAAATAGCACGAAATTATAAATTTGGGATTTGAATTAGATATTAATGTAACACTACCATACGAATACCATATTATAACTGTTTACCAAGGTTACCTGGCGCAGATAATAAGCGGGGTAAAATATTTAGCCGACAAATCATATTTCAGTTTCAAAAACCTCTTTGAACTTCAGGTATATTATAATAATAAATTAAAATAATTATTTAAAAATATTATACTGTCGTATATTTATATTTTAGATTTGGATGTACATGCTATTAATAATGTTAACATTTGTATTATTATTTAAAAAATCTGGCGAAAATAGGTTAGATGCGTACAAATTATTTATTGATATATTTAAATCGTTTACTAATCAAGGTGCAATTAAATTAATGCGCTTTAAAACTACAAACATAACTTTTAAATATTTACGTATTATATGGATATTAAGTGCATTAATAATTACAAAATCATTTTCATCCCTATTATTAAACACGTATTTTAAGGTAAGTTCGGTGCCATTGATTGACACATTGGATGACCTTGTTGAATACAAATCACTACCAATAATAGCGGGCAATACCACAATAAGCGACTTATTTACCGACAAATATATCGACAATAAAACTAAACACATGTTATTAGGCAGGCTAATCGAAATTGATGTTGATCAAATATTTAGCAACGTTATTGATTGTAAGGTTGCTTTCATAGCGAGTTCGATGGATGTTTCAAGTTTTTATAGCTTATACCAAAGTGAGCGTGGTAAATTTTTGACATCGTCACGCAGTTATTTATACAAATTAGGTGTATTATCTATTTCAAAAGGATTTTCTCATAAACCACAATTAACATTTGCGTTAGTATTCAATTATGGGTCATTCAATAAGTATGTAATAAAAACTTTGCACATAAGTTGAATCTACCTACTATGTTTATTCCATATTTACATACTCATAACATTAACTGTACCCCTCACAATCTATTGTGCACATACCTAGTGAATGACCCCTTACAACTTAATATAATATTATATAACATACAAATTATATTTTGTAATTAATAGCTTTGAACGTATTTTGGAGTCGGGTCTAGACATACATCACAATATGATTGAAAATGTTTTTATAAGATTAATAAGTATTGGTGCCCTTGATAAAAATTATACATCAACAATGGATTCGGAAATTTTTAAAAATAAAATCAGTGTTGATGAAATATATCGCAACGGTATCATGATTATAATCGTAGGTTGTACATCATCTATAATTAGTTTTGTTAGCGAAATTTATTATTTCATTTATGGCAAAAAACTTTTTAAAATTAAATTTTTTAAAAATAGTAATAACAAAAATTTTAATTACCGTAGACGCAAAATTATAATTCCATTTAAAATTAAATTAAATTAAATTAAAATAATTGAGTTGAGCTAATATTAATTAAAGGTAATTTGTATAACATTATTAATTTAATTGTTTAACATAATTACTTATCTATAATTATAATTGAATCTGTTTTTATTAATAGGCTTGTAACAATAATTACCCTACTTAACTTTGTATTCTGTAAGATTATTATGAACATTACTATTACTAATTATTTTCCAATACATATAACGTCATAAACAAAACAATTAAATAAGTTTTTTTTATATTAATGAGGTTAATATTCTAGTTGTTTATCATATTTGGATATTTTTATTATAACAAAATAATTGTTATTTAAGATAAATATTATTTGGTAATTCAATTGTATTTTTAAAAAAATACATAATTCAATTAATTGCTCATTCAAGTAGTTATGTCATTTAATAAATTAGCAGTGCAAAATGTGTACGGATTTATACCAAATTATATGGCTGATTTTAATTCACTACTATTTTGTAATAAGACATCTCCATTTAAAGGTTCCATAGGAATTGTACCTGATACGGTAACCTAAACAATCACATTTATAAACTATGAAAATTATATACATTTATTAATTTTTTTAACAGAAATTTTTATATGGAAAGTATCTATCAATCATTGAATATATCGCATGCAAACTGTGTTTAGCAATGTCGAATAAATATTCATACTATTAATAAAAATGAAAATTGTTTCAAACCAAATATCTTTGTCACTTTTAATTCATTAAATACTAGTGTTATGAATAGTTAATAAGTTTACTAATATTATAAAACACTATTTTGAGGATTTTAAAAATTTTGTTCGTCTCTGGTCTATATGAATATAATATTAATTTACAATTATTTAATTAAATATGAATGGATTTATTCAAGACAATGATATGTCAACTGTAATTATATAATGATTTAACCTTTTAACAAAATTCATAATTAAAAACCCATTGATTTTATTCATGACTATTGAGTACAATGTTGAAAATAAATATATAAAAATATCATTGTCTTGAATAAATCCATTCATATTTTATTAAGATATTTAATAATTTATATTTAATTTAATTATGCAGATACTTGAAGTTGGTACGTCAATAGAAATGGTCTCGGTGGAAAATGAAATATTGCCATTAATGTGGGATATTATACCAATTGATCATGATTATTTAATACAACTAATTACAGGAATGCGTTTATTAAAGGATAAATCATATTTCAGCTTTATCAATTTATTTGATTTCAAAGTATTCAATTACTGTATATTAGAACTAAAATAATTTATATATATTTCTTTTATAGACCTGGATACTTACTCTATTATTTAGTTTACTTATATCATATTTATTCAGCAAATTAACTTGTAACAAACTTGGGTTTAACATGATAACTATGGACATTTTAAGATCATTGACTAATCAGGGTCATATAAGTGTTTTATTATGTCATAATAAAAATAAATCGAAAATTAAAAAATTAAACTTCACCATGTTACTTATTATCTGGAATATTAGCGCGGTGATTATTTCCAAATGTTTTACAAGCGTATTATTAAATACATATTTCGGATTGAAGTCTGTACCCAAATTTGAAAATATAAACGAGGTCTTTTTGTATAATGAAAAGCCATTAAAAATAATAGCGAATTAAGATACCATAGATACATTGTATTTGAACATGTTAATCCCTGCAAATATATTAATGTCGATTAAATCTAGATTTCGTCAGCCATATTTTAACATGCTCAATGATATTGTGGACAATAAGGCTGTTTATTTAGTCAACTCATTACAAACAACACATTTTTATAATGAGCATATTAGTGAACGTGATAAATTTTCAATTTCGCCATATCGATATTTTTGTAAATTAAAAGCTTACGATGTAAATAAACTTTTAATACATAGGCAAAAAATATTATTTGGGTAAGGTCAATCAACATGATTTTTAAAACAATTAAATTAAATAATGATTTAAATATTTACAGTTTTAAACAACTTTTGGAGGGAGGTCTCGAAATACACCACAATATGATTGATAATATAATTTTTAGGTTAATGGACATACAATTGGAACAATATAACCCTGCTCCAAAAAATTCGACATTATTTTTTGATAACAATAAATTTGGGAAAATTATCCTTGATGAAGTCTTTCGTAAAGATTTATTAATTGTAATTGTTGGTGCAATATTATCAACTTTATGTTTTATAGTAGAAGCATTAGATTTAAAAATATTTTCTAAATATAAGATTGATAATAATCATAATTAACTAAAAACAATAAATTATTAAAAATTATTATAATTGCATATTAATAAAATATTAAGTTAATATAATTTAAATTTATGCAACAAACCTATAAATAAATTAATTTAATATAATTGTTCATGATATTAATAAAGTTTGATGATATTATTTATTAGTTTATAACATAATAATTATGATTGCATTTATGTATAAATAATATATTCAACAATAAAAATATTTTAAAGCATAAATTCAATTAAAATAATCTCTAAGACCTAGGTAATTATTACAAAAAATATTATTTTTAGAGTTGACATTAAAGTTTTTGTTTGATGATAGACATGAATTTTTATTTATAATTAATTTCTGGAAATAATTTATTTATAAAATATTGAAAACACAAGTTACTTTAAATTAATCAATGCTTGCTACTAAATTATTTATAATATTTTATAGATTAGGGCCCCTGAATTTTAGCTACCTTCACGCAAAAATGTATTGATCAAAGAATTAGCGCAAAATCATAAAACTTAGTGATAAAAGGATTAACTTTACATTTGATTTAAAACAGTGAAAATAGTAATCAGTTTTGAGTATATTAATGGTGTTGTGATTGGATAATTTATTATTGTAGTTGTCATATTGAAGGATTATAAATAATTATAATAATTTTGAAACATGCATACAATCGATATAGATTGCATTGTAAAATTAAAATTAGCTTCAAAATAAAAAATATTTCAAATTTTAAAAAAATATTAATAAAATAAAATAACAATCATATTAATAAATAGTATTTTTATAAAGATTAATCGATTAAATAATATAAGTACCGTATAATTTATTATTTATATTTTTAGCACAACTTTATCATAATGAAGTTTGCTTGTAGCATTAAATTACGGGGAGTATTCAAATCGGGTATTATAAATAATCTAGATTAGATAATAAAATAAAGTATATAAATATACTCTTTTGTCATTTATTTTTGAGCTACCATATATATTAAATTATTAAAATGATTAAAATTCAGTTTTGCTTAGCACTAGTTATTGTGCTGGCGCACAATGTCTTATGTGAAAACCCGTTTCAGGATTTAATTCTAAACCAATGTTTTCAAAAGGTATACGCCGTCGGACTAAAATGTGTCACGGACATTTCACCGGACTTTGACATCACCAAGGTAGAAAATTTGGAGTTTGGTATCGAGAACCTTGAGAAACGGTGTTGCACACTTCACGTACTCTACGATTGTTTCATAGAAAATGGCAAGGTAAATCAATAAATCTTAATAATAATTTAACATTCAAAAATATGATCATAATATAAATTAATGTTTTAATTATTTTTTTTTAAAAATTAGGAGCAGTGCCCGGCTGATGGTGATGAGAAATATTCAGATTTGGAAACTATACTAAATAACGCCAAAAATGTCCTGGATGATGATACTTGTAAGGATCATACATATTTAGCCGATCAAAAAACATGTAGCGGGGCATCAGGTTTAATTCACAGTACTATTATCATGGTTGTTTTTGTAGCTATTATTAGAACATTTGATTAAATGTAAAATACATTTGAATTTAGACTCGATTTATTATATTAAACAAAAAATAATTTCTATATCAATTAAAATGTTTCTTTAGTATTATTTATTTATAAACGAGAATTATTTTATCATGCAGAAATTGAAAAATATTTGGGTATTTAATATATTAATTAAAATGTTTTAAAATTAATAATTAAAATTTATTTAATTAAAACATGTTTTAAAAAAATAATTCTCTGCTTGTTTAACTACAATAAACATAAAACAAAATGAATGCAATTAATATATTATTCTACAAAAATGAAATTAAATATAAAAACGATGTCAAAGAGAAAATATTACGTTTCTAAAATAAATTTTTATTGTTGTCATATTGATAAACAATGATTCTGATGACAAATTATCAGAAAATTATTTT